TCCCCCCCCCCCCCCCTTGGGAACGGCCAAAAGACAACTTCAGTCAGAAGCACGGCTGCGCCGGGGAACAGCGACTGCTGACGTCATTTTACCGGGGAACAGCGACCGGGGAACAGCGACTAGTATTTTACTATATTTCTTTGTTACTGTTGAACTTGGTGTAATCGCCTACAGTATCGAATACAATTAGACCAAACATGTTACATTTCGTCTCGATTTTCAGTAAGCTTAACTAGAGCTCAGTCAAATCTCCCGCTAATCTGTTCATAAGGAGGAACAAGAAAGAGAGAAGTTGATCACAGCGTAAAGCAAGAAGGAGCTATCGCAGGGAGAATTTTAAAGAAAAATTTCTTTTAAAATGCTCTCAGCTCAGTAGCAAGTTTGAAAACAGTCTCCAGAATGTTCTTAGAGTCTGAACTTTTGTTTCTCTCTCTTTGCATTGTCCTCTTCAGGTGGATGTCATCATTTTCAGTGTAGATGCTGCGATTGCAATTCTCCGTTTTGTCATTGTTTTCCGATTTTACATTGTTTCTCCATGATTGGTTTATCATACTCCTACACGATCATACTCTTACTCACCACATGATCACACACACACACACAAGCACACACACACACACACACACACACACACACACACACACACACACACACACACACACACACACACACACACACACACACACTGTGTTTGTATATATATATATATTTATACATACATATATATATATATACATACATATATATATAACCAGGCGCGGTTCGTCCATGGAGCTCGATCGTGCAGTGTCGCCAAAAACATTTTAATGTTCTGTTACAAAAAGCATCCTCAAACAAAACATAAAATAAAAGAATTCTAAAACAAACACTAGGCAAATATTATTTCAAAACAAGGTCATCGCTGGCGCCTAAACTGTCATTTATTTGTTAAAAGCGCCGTAAAATATCTACTATGGTATGCCAAATCCCATGAGCTTTAACTAAACATAATAGAGTAATATTCAACAGTGGTAACCTGGCCTATAAATCGCTCTTTGGGATAACCCAAACGATGACGACACTCGTAAAGAGTTTGGCGGTACATTGATATAATATTAAGACGGCACAGCTCAAATGTGCACCCACGAAACATAACCCACAGTAGGCAGTCTAAAAGTAAACGCAATAGACTGCACACTATTCTATGCCAAAATGATGTGATCCCGGAGCAATTCAACGGAGTGCTCAAGTGAATTGTGATTGGTTCATTGTCTTGCTACTATTTAAGCGACTATGTGACCGTGAACCTGAGGGAGGTGAAGGTGACATACTTAATAAGTCACCGTCCTGTGAGTTGTGCCTTTGAATGGTTTCGTAGTGGAGTGGTGAAATTTAATACTTGAGTGTTCAGTTCCAATACAGGATGAAGAAACTGATGTTTAGCTAACAAACAGATTTAGTTCTTAGTATAACACTGATAGCTCGAATTCGTCGGGACAGGCCTCGGTAGTTCGAGGGATCCGTATTTCGAGAGATATCTTACAAAGATAGGGAAGAAGAAAAAAACGGGACCGCTGGCACAGTTCGACTGGAGCGTGATTTCGAGTCTTTTGGGTTCGACCTATCCGGCGGTGTAATACTATGTGTGTGTGTATATATATAAATTATATAGTTATATATATATAAATATAGATAGATATAGATAGATAGATAGATAGATAGATAGATAGATAGATAGATAGATAGATAGATAGATAGATAGATAGATAGATAGATAGATAGATAGATAGATAGATAGATATAAAATCAGGGGCGGCTCGTGGGGCTAAAAAGTGGATGTGCACAATTAAGCTATCGCATGCTGAAGACAGTCAAGGGCATAGATAAATGAGACTGTGGTATAATTTTAGGATCTTTTGGGTTTGGTGAGGGAGGACCTCGTGCTTTTATTTTCACTTTCTTTTTCCTCGTCGCTTTGATTTCTAGTACTAAATTTGTTTGTTAGCTTAACATCAATTTCGTTCACCCTGTATTGGAACTGAATACTCAAGTAATAACTTTCACTACTCCACTACAAAACCATTCGAAGGCACAACTTCCATAGGACGGTCATGTTCACCTCCCTCAGGTTCACGGCTCACAGGATGGAGAGTGCGTCTCAATATAGGAGTGCAGAACGGACAGTGAGACGACTCACCCACTCGTTT